AACTCGTCTCGTCTCTCTATCGCGTCCCCTTGAGGTACGGGATCGGGAAAGTCACTTATACTTTACAGTCAAATAAGACACACACAACGAAATACGTTTCAGCTCTCGTCTTAGTCGGTCAATCGAATACTCTATAAGACACAGCGCCCTGGGGAAAAGTCCCCAAGACTATCACAAGGCTGAACCAAGACTCGCCCAATACTGGACTGCCTCAAGGCTCGCCCCAGGACTCGACTCTCCAGGACTGCACTCTCTCTACTGCGTCTATCGTGCTGTGCTCTCCAAGACCAACTCAAACTCTCTTTATTCACTTTCAAAACTCTAACCAATTACAATGCAGTAAAAAGACTCTAAGGCGTAACTTTCAATCATAAAGCAACTCGCACTAAGTACTGAATACGTCATATCTTTTGATTAATCGTTCACTACATTAATAACTATGGATACCAACTGTCAAAATAGCGACGGTTATCTGTAATTAGTTCCAAATCACTGAGCCAAGTTCCGTCCAAAACTTCAAATAGGCGTAAACGATGACAGACATAACACAGCAATTCGCTAATAATCAACTAATTAAGTCGGTCAACAGATACGCAAAAACAAATTCATGACAGAACATTAATACGTTACTGACTTCCCTCTGGATGTGTTTTAGTGGTGGTAGTGTTAGTTTAGTTTCTATGGTGAAATTTACAATATTATTTTTACTAATACATCTTGTGGGTTTGAAAATAAAGTCTAAATTACATTTACTACTAGCAAAATAGCATATACTCATTTAATACATCTGGTGAATAAAACTGTAAGATTAATCACGTGTTACGTAACACAAAGATCAAATACGACAAATAGTAAAATTCAAATGAGTAAGTAATGACTTAAATATTACGTGAACTCTCTTAGCCAATCAGAGAACGTCATTTAATGAGCACTCGAGCATTTGACCTCAGAGGTCGCAGTCGAATATGCGCTGTAATTTATTTAAAAAATCACATTGTTTGTCCTTTATACATTGTTTGGTGTATATACAGAATGGTAGTCGGAGTTGCACACCTTCACTCTATTTACATAGTTGTATATTCTTTGGGCAGTCATGCACAACGATTCGAGCGCATGTGAGTATAATAATAATCCTAAAGAGTATGTTGTGCATCCTACTAATCTTAACGTGGAGGGGTCATTACTTGCGCATGTGCGGGAATTGTGTCCCAAGCGACGATAACAACGTACACTAAAAACGCAAAGGCTCATGGGTAAACGCTTGTCACACGCTATGGTCGTTTTCCGCATGCGCAGATTACGACTTCCGCGCTTTAACAGAAAATGTTCCGCTTTGAAAAGCGTGACAATTTAAACAGTCTGTCATTGCGTGACATATTATTTTTATTTAGCACTGTATTGTGGTCATTGTTTAGATAGATTTATAGCCGGTCATTTTGTACTTTAGCGGGTAACCAGACGCTATATATGCAGTTATTTATTTGTATCGTCAAAATAATAAAAAATTTGCAATAAAAGAAAACAGTGTCAGCGAAAACAGTGTAATGGGCTGCAGCAAGTGTTCACGGGAAATATCTTAAATAACGAGTTTTTGAATAGACATTTATCACATACATGAGTTTTTATTTTTTAACGGGTAGTCAGATGGTTTATAAATTGAGAGTTGTTTGTATCAAAAAAAATTCAAAATGTCTAACTTAAAAAAGCGCTATATGAAAACACAGTAAAATAAACATGTTATTATATCATGGATATTGCGGAGTGATATCTCTAATATTAGAAAGAGTGACAGGATTGTTTTGTCGATTGTCGATTGTTTTTTTTGTTTTTTTTTATTCAACAAATAAATTCACGTAGACAAGTACAGAAAACAAAACAAAACAAAAACAGCCAATGCTGTTTGCCAGCAGCTATTCAGAAAAAGTATATACTAATCCGCTAAGTATTGTGTTAGTGGTCCCCATCGGTTTCTGAATAGGACACTTTTGTCATTGAATCTGTCACGACGTTTTTCTAGATTAAACACCTATTTAATTTTACAAATGAATAGTCTGAATGAGGATACTTTTCAGTCTTGTCTACAATTATATGTAAATTGTTTTGCAATGATTATAATGTAATTCAAAATATTCTGAAGATTAGAGGATCCAGTAATGATAATATCATTCGTCAACTGTAAATGCATGTTACTAGTTTTGTTTTCTGCCCAAAACAATTTAATAGGGGTGCAATCACAGAATATATGAAAAACAGTTTCACTATGCACATTGCAAAAACTACACTTATCACTATCTTCCATTTGTGTAACAAATAATTGGTAGCGAGAAAATTATGCAGAATGTTATACTGAAAAACCTTCGTGTATGAATCTATTGCTACTACATGTGGAAGCTGAAATATTTCATCCCATTATTTTTATTTTCAAGATAGCTACAGATTCTACCGCAAGAATTAGGATATCTTTGTTTCAGAGGTTTGATTTGAATGCATAGGTGTTAGTTGAATACTTTGTCGATCATTATTAGACTGCAGCATTTTGGTTTGTTTTGCTATATTGATCAATGCAACCAAAAGACACAAATTATTAAATTTATCTCCTCTTTGTAGCCACATTTCAAAAGGAACTACAACACCATTAATGTCAAACAGATCTTAAAAATACCATATTCCAGCTTGCATCTTGTTTCTGTTGAAGATTGGCTTAATATTTATTAATAAGTACATTTCTATTGTTCCACACAAAGCAAGACTCGCTACTGGAATTTGCTTGTGACCAAGAAAATAACATTTCTGTATAATAAATTAGTAGTTCCTTATAATATTTAACATCATAATTACATAATAAAAATAGTTGTAAACCACCATATTTATGCATATAATTGTGGAGATATGAACAATCCTGGTAAGACACTAAGTGTCGTTTCAACCACATGATTTGTGAAATTGCAATCATACTTGGCAAGTCAAGATCCAGATTTAATATACCCACCTTTTCGTTTTTGTTATCCCAAATAAAACGGAAAATAATGCTTTCCATTTGTTTGACATAATTGTTTGGGACATGTAATTAATTGGCGGGAAACACGAATTTGGAGACAATATAAGTTTTGGCAGTTTGTATTCTTCTTGGAAGCGTGAGGTTTCTGGATCTCCAAATATTAAAACAACCGGCAGCTTCTACGATTCTTTTTTGAAAATTCAATTTATTTGATCGCATTTCATCGTACGATATATATATATATATATATATATATATATATATATATATATATATATATATATATATATATAT